TGTCAACTCCACCAACAAGCTGTAAAAGGAAGCAGCATCAAGAAAGTATTCTTCTCAGTCATGTGCAATTGCAGAATTGCAGTCTGGAACTTTCATCAAACAACTGCAGAACATGTCCCTCCAAGACAAAAGGACAAAAAGAAAACTACTAGCAGAATTGCTTGAAGATAGGCTAAGCTCAATCACCAACTGAATCTACTTCAATCTACTTCTGACATTGGAGCTCACAGATGCCGAAACCAAGACATATTTCAAATGAGGGGATAAAAAACGCTAGGTGCAAATCAGTTCATTATTACGTTATGTTATTCACATTATACTCTTAAAAGGAGACTTTCATTTTCTAAAAGAATAAAATCTTTTCACAAATACCAAAAGATGCAGATTTGGGCAGCTGACATACACATTGATAAAACCAACTAATTGCAATGAGAGAAAGTTCACCGATATGAATCAAACAAAAAATGCAAAGCAAATACATTTGAAAGGGCCCATCTATTCCACTATCCAAAGGTTTGTACCAGCAGCGAGGCAACTTTTCAAAACTAAACAGGAAAGGGGATCTTGATTACAAACACCACAGTTTATTGCAAAATCAGAGTATTGTGCCCGTGATACAGAAATATATTCTTGAGATGCTTGAAATGTTATTACTCAGCAAAAAGCTTACCACAGCACATCTGACTCCGATGCCAGATCCTAAAGCTTCAAATTGTTCAGCAATCTGAATTGCCAGTTCCCTAGAAATAAAACGGCACATTATCCACTAATTACGGGAAGACACCTGGCGATGCCACAGCGTCAGCTTGTCGCCAAATAAAGTGAAGTAACTCCAACCTCGTAGGAGAGAGCACACAAGCAAAGAACGCTTGCGGAGAGTCCAATAGAGCTTGCAGTATAGGAAGGGCAAATGCCCCGGTTTTGCCGGATCCTGTCTGTGCAAGACCGATCATATCTTTTCCTATGGAACAAAAGGCAGACAAGCAAAGGGAAATCAATTAGTGTATAGCGTCTACATCTCATCAGAGTAACTTCAGTCTAGGTCAACACTGATAGCCAAAAAAACGCAATGTCAATAAGGAGCCATTAAACCAAGCTAAGACAAAGACTTCATATCGTATCCACCTTCATTTATTCCAAAGCACTATCGTCTCGCACAAAGCGACATGTTCGAAGTCTTCATGCTCTGAACTAGCTACAATCTACCAAAAGTATGCGAGCCAGACACCTATAAGTGCACACTCCGCTCAATATCATCATCAAGCTTCCAGGTAACATACAGAATCTAAACAAAGCTCGGTGCTTGAGTAAAACAGATTCTTCACATGTACCGGCTCATAGCTCGTGCGGAACATGGAGCGAAACAATTCGATGATCTTGCATCCTCGCATATATTGTAAGCCTCGAGGCGACCGACCCATCGACGCAACACGTTTCACCTATCGAAATCGATCCCAAGATTGAATTTTGATGACGAAAGAGGTACCTTCGAGAGCATGAGGAATGGCTTCGACTTGGATCTTCGTCGGATTCTTCCACCCCAGGGTGTCGCAAGCCTCCAGCAGCTGCTCGCATATGCCCAGCTCCTTGAACGTCTTCACCTCTTCCGTCTCTTCCGCCATGTTATCACTCCTTCGCTACCTGCTCAAACCAATTGGAGAGAGAGAGAATGCTTCTCAATTCACTTCCCTCTTGTGATCAATGGGGGGGGGGGGGGGGGGGCGAGAGAACCGCCGGAGACGGCGGCTCGTGGAGCTGAGCGGCGGGTGCTGAGGGCGCGGCCTCTCGAGGTTTTAGGGTTTTTGCTCTTTGCCGCTTGGCGGTTCTTCTCCTCGCAACGACGTGTTTGGAATAAGAGATGTGCTCGGCGGGCGGGCGGGCGGGTTCGCGCTGACCCGAATTAGAAGACCCAGGCCCAATTGACCGGGCCGGATCGGGTTCAATATTGGGCCTAATTGGGCTTGTCCAAGCCCGTCGAGAATGGTCTCCGCCATCTTTGACGGGCCGGGCTTGGAGGTCGGGCTAGAGATGCAGAACCATTATTGGTCTCCAAGCCCATAAAACAAGCATATGCCTAGTTCGTGAGAGAAAGTCTCTCGTGCATGGGAAGAATGATACTATGTGTCGTGCTGACGAGGCATCGCTGAGCCAATCGCATCTCTCCAACTTTTTTTTTTTGAAAATTCCGAGCTTAATAGTTTCCATTTATTGATAAAGTAGAGAGAATCGGGATTGGCGCGGTAATATGATTTCCCGACGCGGTAGTCGATAGGTAAATATGGATTTATCGATCAGCAAATGTGCACTCGGGCGCAATTTCTCACGGGCGCAACATTAGAGAGAAATCTCTTTTCTGTATCGTGTGTAATTAATTAATATGACCAAAAAGTCGTGTGATACGTAGTAGAGAAGATCGAATAAGTACCTTGCTATCCCTAGGTGACGCTCGAAAACCCAAAAATAACCTTATGTTGGAAAGAATTCGGAAAACAAAAATTGGAATAACGCGAAAAATTTGACGTAAAATAACAAAGTACCCTCGAGACACGCCTAAGCGATGGATTTTGAGGTTCAAAATGATTGTAAAACGAGTCTCTCGATTTGGCGACGGCATAGTACCCGAAACGAGCTTTATGGATTGGTCTTATGGGCTCCATTCATGAGCCCATTTTCTTGCGTGCTCCGCAAATTGTCCGTACACTTTAGAAAGTTATCAGCAGCAGCGTCCGCATCACGTCTGAAATGGATAAGATAATTCCTGCTAGTTTTGGATGGGGTAGCAAGACGAAAGGAAAGAAGATTGGAACAATCACAAAAGGGAAAAGAATTATTACGATAAATTCAAAATTCAAATGTCAAAGTTGGATATCAATTCACTAACAAAAATGAAGAGAAATGAAAGCCACGTCTGCTTTAAATACAAGATTTCAGATCCCTTTGGATCATTTTATAGGGTCGTCGCAAGTAACAGGGATCGGTTGATCTAGTCACCATAATCTGATTAATTGCATCATTCGTGAAACTATACAATTTGGATTACCAAAAAAATATCTAAAGAATTCTTAATTCCTCAAACAACATTATATTATATATCCCACACCAGGGAAACCCTCGACCCTTTCTTCCCAATTTACTAAGGGTGCGTTTGGGAGAGCTTTTCATCAATTAAGGCTCGAAATTGAATACGAGCGCATCACACGACAATTAGTGAGCTAGATCTGAAAAAAAAAAGAAAAAAAAACAGACTTTGGCTCAAAGGCTCTTAATACCGTGTAACCAAACACCCTAGCATTTTGCACAATGGCCTTTAGAGACCCAAACGACTTTCGGGAATGCATTTCCAAGCGTACTTTGAGACTACCTGACATTGCTGTGAATTATGTCCGATGCCAAGGATACAAGCACTATATCGAACCCAAAGGGTCAATGTACTTCCCGAGCAACAACTTTACGTAACTCGCGTACCTTTCTCTCGCAACCACAAGACCCGCCTTATCGAGTTAAATTCCGCGTTCACGAGGCACTTCATTAAATCTCATAGATCAGATAAGACCACCCGAACGGAACTTTCCAAAAGGAGTCAAGTCTGCACTCGTAGCATCTTAAAGGGTGCGTGCTGTTTCTTCTCCTCATCTTCCGAAAAAGTGAGAGAGTATTCCATAACTCAAAAGGCGCAGGGAAGTTGCGTCTACATCTATCAATGTCCCATGCTCGTATTGGCCGACGTGCACCTAACTCCCATTAATGATCCATCCCCCCGCCTCTCCTATGTGCATTCGAATTCAAGCCTTTTCTCTTCTTGCTGAATTCAATGTAGTTGACCTCCAAGAAGACTTTGTGATTCCCGCCCACCCCCAAAAATAACTCAACACCGCCCACCCGACCCGTCTGACATTCTTGGACCAAAGAAATTCAGACTATAGGTGGTCGCATTTATTATCGTTACCCACATTTCTCCTTTTCCTTTTTAAATAAAAAAGTGCAATAAAGATGTGCCCTTTTTGATGGGTCATGGAAAAAAAATAATCTTAAATCATGGCGTGCACAGGAGAAGATGAAAAAAAACCATTTTTTTTTAATTCTAAATTTGTTCAATCTCTTGAGGGATTTTGCTTTTACTATGTAGAGTTTTAAGTAAAGGGTCTCGATAAAAAAAAAAAGGGGATAGGGTCTTATGATTGTCGATCGAACGAAGTTGGACGATGCTTTGAATTTCACTTTCGAGTCCGGGATCGAGCACGCCGATTTGGTAGCCCGGATTAGAGTTTGGGCGAGGACCCGAGGAACGGGATGAAGTTGACAGGGTTCGGGACGGTAATCGCCGCCACCCGGCCCGGGGACCGGTGCCGTGGCTCCGTGCTTGGGAGAAGAAGAGCGATAATTTATCGGAAAAGAAAACGAAGAAAAAAGGACGGGAGGAGGGCAGCACACGAGTTCAGCGAACGAGCGGCAACCGAGACAAGCGTGCGCTGACTGAGAGCCACTGGAAATGGAACAGGAATTTCTCGTGGATGATAACACCAATAAAAGGAAATTAAAAGAATAAATAACGAATTCCTTTTTTAAAAAAGGTGACATTTATTTAAATAGTTTTCTGATAAATTGCACCTGAAGTAAAGCTACGGCTGAACGCTCGTGCGATGGAACGCCCTTTCTCTTTCGCATGCGTGTGAGAGAAGCACGTCTCATCCACGCCAATAGAATTTCACCTTTCTTCCAAAAATCTTTTTCCACAAGTTTAATTGAAACCAGAGAAAATCGACATAAATTTTCGAACGCTAAATATCGAGATTAATGGGTTTCGCGAGAAATTACTTTTGAAATCCACAGAAATGCCTCATGGGTGTGAAATTCCTAATTTTTTTCTTGCCAAATTCCACTAATTCCTCGAATTTAAGGTGAAATTTTTTTTTGTCATATAATAAAGACTAATAATAATAAAGAAATTGAGAAAAAGACAGCTGCAAACGGACAGAAAACAAAGGAACAATCGAAAAGCAGACACAAGCAAAAGGCAGCAAGCTTTCTTCATGGCTAAATTATACACCAAATTTAAACAATATGGAACTAGATTTCGCTCTTTATACAAAAATATTAAATAATAGACGCAAAAAATCACGAAAAAGGAGAAAAAAAAAATTAAAGCTCGGTCTAGAAAATATGCTGTTAATTAGTGCACCTTCTTGGTAAAAAGGCTCCGGAGGTTGAAAATATAATTACTACTCCCGCCGGTATTGCCGCCTCCTCCGCCGCCGCCGCCGCCGCCGCCATCGCCGCCGCTGCTGTTGGTGTCGCCGCAGTCGGCCACGGCCACCCGGATTGCGCTGTTGTCGTCGTTCCTGCAGCTCAGATGGTGCCTGTACCCGATACACATCGGCACGTTCAAATTCAACACCCTGGCCTTGTTCGCTCCGGCGCCGGCCCCGCCTCTCGCCGCCTTGCTCCGGCGGGCCTCGGCCGCGGCTTCGGATTCCGGGACGGCCTTGTCGACGCTCCGGGACGCAGGCTCGGCGGCGACAGCGGGGACGGGGACCTTGGCCGGCGGGGCCCCACGGCGCACCTGCCAGACCGGGCTGTTCCGGCCCAAATGCACCCCGACCCGGCCCGGGCTGCTCGGCCACTTCCTGGACTTGGAGTCCCCCGCCGAGTTGCTCCGCGAGCACGGCGCGCTGCTCACCTTCCGGGCGCTCGGGCCACCGAACGCGGCCAATCTGGGCCTGGCGCCGCCGTTCCCGGCGGATCTGCTCCGCGAGAAGGGCCACAAGTTGATGTTCAGCTCAGTGGGGCCCGAGCCGGAACCGGCCCGGCCGTGGCTCTTCTTCTCCTTCTTCCTGTCCTTGTCCTTATCCGCCGGCGACGGCGACGGCGACGGCGGCGGCTTCTCGTCTGGGTTGTTGACGGACTTCTTCTCGCTCTTCTTGAAGATGTCCCTCCACCGCTTCGAAGCGGTGGTGGCCGACGACGCCGGGGTCAGCCGGGGCCCGGGCTCCGGATCCGGGTCGGGGAGGTCCGCCTCGGGAGCGGGGGGAGGTTCCGGTCCCTCGGGGCCGGCTTCGGGCTCGGGCTCGGGGACGGGGACGGGGACGGGGACGGGGTCGGGGGGGTCGGGCTGGTGGAGGTGGAGGAGGTGGAGGGGGAGGAGGACGCCGTCGACGAAGAGCTCGTCGGCGGAGAGGAGCTCGGGCTGGGGGAAGATGGGGTTACGGACCATCCAGAACTCGAACTCCGGCGAGTTGGAGGCGCTGCTGCTCCGCCGCCCGCTGCCGCAGGGGGAGAGAGCCTGCGGCGGCTGTGGGTGGTGGTGGTGGTGCTCTTGCGCGGATATGGTTGGGCTCTCCATTTCCATAATTCGTTCTCGCAGAGAGAGAGAGAGAGAGAGAGAGAGGGGGGGGGAGGGAGGTGTTTTGTAGTTTCGTTGGGAATGGAGTTGGGGAGTTGCAGAGGAGAGACCCCACAGGCAATAAAGAAAGGAGGACGGACAAATTATAAGTGGATGAGAGGGAGAGAGCATAGGAAGATGGTCCATTATAATACAATGAGAGAAGTGTCCTTGCCATACATATGAATTTTCTTCTGTTTTTTATAACTAAAGGTACGAGCGCAAAGATCCACGATTTTTGAAGGTTGATGAAACATCCTATAAATTTCATGAACCCATTAAATTTTTCTTTATGGTCTACCATATTAGATATGGAGCAGTTTGGATGAAGTTAGTGAAATTTGAACGTATGACATTTAGCTCCTGCTGTTGTAAACTCCCTTGCTGCTCTAACCAATCGCGTCATGTAAAGGAAGCGAGTTAAAAGTTGATAATTATGTTAACGAGTGCTTCAGGGGCACTAGTTTTGATGACATTATATAATTTCTAATGCACCGATTGCTTTTGTGCTTATGCATGTTCAGTTTCTTGAAAATCGAATTATTTCAAATTAAAATTAACTTAATGAGTATCTTGAGAACATTCGTTAAGATGACTCATTATTAAGATGCAATTCCCACTAATCCGGCTCCATCGCATCACAAACTTTACATAAATAGGCGAATTTCAGTTGCAAAATTGAGATTCAGAAGCTTCCAAATAATTAAAAAAAAATAGTTTGATAAGACAACAAAATAAGCACACCATAGAAGAAAACCATAAAGTTCATTCCCTCTCAAAGATAATGTCAATGTGCAGTGCAATCTAGTCCTTAGAAGTCGATAGGTGATTTTATTAAGAGTTTGACTTGCACCAATACATAACAGGTGAAGGCATTTGCATTTATGCCCTGAACTGACATCTGAGCCAGTAAATGTCTAACGAGGAATGAACGAACTCGGTAGCTAGAGATGTAGAGATGCACCGATACTTATGTCATTATGGGCATCTTGTGAAGGTTTCCTCTCATAAGCGGAAACGCCGACGCTGCCGTCTTTTCAGATGGATTGCCATTGATCGAGTGGCATCCATAACATGAAAATAAGTCTAGATGACCTCTCCTTTCGCAGAACCAGATCTACTGGTTACAATGCTTGTGCACACGCACACACTCAAGCGACCTTGGGTAAACTCCCTATGATACTACACACTTATTTTCATATTGGAATGTCTCCCAATCTTTTAAATCTGAGTAGGTGTTTAAAAGGTTTAAAACAAGATGAGCGGAAGAAATTGCCCCGTACTGGTTGCAATGGTTGTGCACACACTCAAGCGACCTTGGGTAAAGGCCCAATGATACTGCACACTTATTTCCATGTTGCAACGTTTCCCAATCTTTACTTTTCAACTCATGCAACTCCGTAGAATTTCCTCTTTTTATGCGGTCGACACTTGTGATGGCTCCTGGCCAAAAAGGTGTGTACTGTGTACAGTCCAGTGTTCAGTGAATCCTATAGAAGATGCCGAAGCATGTGTCCTTTTCTTATCTTCTTAGAACGTATCTCCACAAAATGACTCAACATCACAAAAAATCTATCACGATAAACTACAGTTGAAAGGCCTTCGTTTGAGAAGTGAGTGATTAGCATTGATTAGCGGAAAAGAAACACAAACTTCAAATCGGGTATCATCATCTCTCATTCATGTCTTCTCTGGACTTTATCCCGATTGAAATTACTTAGAAATCAAAGATTTCTTTCTTGTAAAAAAGTGTGGATCTTGGCTTGAAAATACGACGGAATATCGCATTCAAATCTTACTCGATGCGATTTTTATCACGAGAAATAAGTGTTTTGTGAATTTGCAACATGAGGCGTGTGTTCCATATGCATTTAATGCGATAGATGAAGGTACCACTGAACACTATTTAGAGAAAAGAAAAATTATAAAATTTTATGCTTGTTTGAACAAAAATTGCATGAGTAATGCTAAGCATACCTAAATTGATCTACAGCATATTGATTTGTTGATCTTTGTTTCCTTTACCAAATTAGCTCATTTTATTTCTTTTTATCGATTCACAAAATATGTCTTTCTAAGTGAGTATATCCTTTTAATTTAGTTTTGTTTGTGCCCATTTGTCGCTAAACCAAGCTATAGGCAATTGTATGTCATTATCTCATCTAATTCAATATGGAAAAAAAGTACGTATTTTCGATGGATTTACTTCAATTCCATCGTCAAGTGACTTGAAAAAAGTCAAAATTGAGCTTTTGTAATAAATTAAAGGGAAAAAGCCACAAAAAATCCTAAACTATGCTCACTGTGACACATTTTACCCTAAAATTTTTTCCATGACTCAAAAAATTTCAAACTTATACTTGTGTGACTCATTTACCCTCTGTCAAAGTTCCGTCAATGAGAACTATTAAAAATCTATCTACATGGATGCCAGAAAGCAAACGCTGTTGACACAGCGCTAACATGATTTAAGTAAAATGAAATCGATGTTGTTTTGGCTAAAAAATCATCTAATAAAACCTTGACTGAGGGTAAATGTATCATATAGGTATAAGTTTGGGATTTATTTATGTCACAAGAAATATTTTAAGGTAAATGCATCATAGTGAGTACAATTTGGGGCTCTTGATGTTATAAAAAAAGTTTAAGATAAATGCGTTACAGTGGGTATAGTTTGAGGTTTTTTTGTGGCTTTTTCTCCAAATTAAACTCAGTCTGCAATGATTTTCTCTCTTTTGAGGCAAACTTCTACTCTCGCCCTCCGCGACCATATTTTAAGCTGCCTCCATTCATTAAAAAATGGAGAAGGTCTATTGCGTGCTTTAGTGTGAGGTGTTTACTTATGTTTCACAAAAAAATGTTAATCGACAGAGATTGCGAAGGGTCCTTTGTCGATTTTGGATAGGAAAGTAAAGGACAAGAAATTTAAAAGTACAACACGGGGAACAATTGTTGCTAGTGATATAAATTACAAGGAAAGATAGATTGCAGGAAAGTAAATACAAAGATAAAGAACGTTGAGTTCTGTGATTGGTTGAGGAAGCTTAAAATAAGAACCTTTAGAGAAAATCGAAGAGCAGAAAAATGAAAGAGAAATTAGAAACTAGGAAGAGAGAGATAATGCAGAAAACAGAAACAAAGGTTTTAAAATAATGCTGTTTTATTGATTTCTCTCCTTGCTTATATACACATGCAAAGAATGATGGGTTAAAATCAGTTTGAGTTTGAACGACTTTTTGGTTGCTTGGTTGTCCGTGTGGAGAGGAGCAGGAAGTTTCTGGCTGAATCGAGTCTTGCGCAAGAGAATAGGAAGATGCAAATCGTTAGTGATGTGGCAACTTGATCTGAGCTGGAAGCTGATGTGGACGTGGGCAACTTTGACTTGTTCAACATCCCCCGTAGGCTGACGGGGCGGCATGAATGGTCAGCTTAGAACGTTGAACTCAAAAGCATGCATAGGAGAGTCCTTTGGTGAAAATGTCAATAGGCTGATCTACGGAGGAAATAAAGTGAAGGTTGAGCTGCCCACAAGCTAGTTGTGCAAGCACGAAAGACAATGTTTGCGGTTAGGTACGGTGCTAATAAATTATCACACCAAAGAGTTAATGGATATGGTAAAAGAGCCTTTAGATCTTTTGAGAAATACTCAATCCACATAAGTTAGTAGTATTAGCTAAACACTTCTATTCAGCTTTTGTAGTGGAAAGTGCCACAGTTCGTTGCTTACAAGAGCTCCAAGAAATAAGATTATGACAAAGGAAAACACAATAGCCTCCAACAGAGTGCTGATCATCACAATCACCAGTGTAGCCTGCGTCAAAAAGGCATGGAGAGCTGTGAATGAATTGTGAGTAAACAAAAAAAAAAAAAAATACCAAGGCGAGGAGTGTCTGCAAGATAACGCTCAATGAACCGTGGTAGGGGCACAGAGGAACTGCCATGTAGTGTCGATGAGTAGGCAATGTTTGGTTGTGTAAGTGTTAGACATTGTAGAGCGCCAACAATACTTCGATGAAGAAGAGGTCTGGGAAAGGGTCTTCTTGAGGTTGATGTCGTCCATATACACAAGGAGTATCATACTGTAGTGAGGTGTATGTAGAACAAATAATGAAGAGTATGCACTTGACATTTGTAATCCTAGAGCAATTAAATAGGAGCTAAGTCGTTGGTGCCACGCTTGAGGAGCTTGCTGGGAAAATTACCAAAAAAGTCCTAAACTTTTTGCAATTGTGCCAATTCAGTCATAAACCTTTTTTTTTTGCCATTTCAGTCCTAAACCTTTTACAATTGTGCCAATTCAGTCCATCCGGTCACTTTTGGCCGGTCGGCGCTGACGTGGCATTATTTTAATATATATATATATTTTCCTGCTTCCCCCTGGCCGGTGCTCGCCGGCGAGGTGACCTCGCCGGCCATGGGCGAGGTCGACCTTGCCCGGCCATGGCGAGGTCAAGCTCACCAGCCATGGGCGACGGCGAGGTCTCGCCAGATCTGGGCGAGGCCTCGCCGTCGCCGGGCGAGCTCGACCTCGCCACCTCGCCGGCCATGGGCGAGGTCGACCTCGCCCGGCCATGGCGAGGTCGAGCTCGCCGGCCATGGGCGACGGCGAGGTCTCGCCGGATCCGGGCGAGGCCTCGCTGTCGCCGAGCGAGCTCGACCTCGCCCATGACCGGCGAGCTCGACCTCGCCCGCGACGGCGAGGCCTCGCCCGGATCGGCAAGGCCTTGCCGTCGCTAGGCGAGCTCGACCTCGCCCGGCCATGGAGAGGTCGAGCTCGCCGGCCATGGGCGGCCGAGCTCGCCCGGCGACGGCGAGGCCTCGCCCATGGCCGGCCGAGCTCAACCTTGCCCGGCCGGCACGGCGAGGCCCCGCCCGAGATCCGGCGAGACCTCGCCGTCGCCGGGCAAGGTCGAGCTCGCCCGGCGACGGCGAGGTCTCGCCAGATCTGGGCGAGGTGACGACGTCGCTGGGCGAGGCCTCGCCGTCGCCCATGGCCGGCGAGCTCGACCTCGCCATGGCCGGGGGAGGTCGACCTCGCCCATGGCC